CATTGCTTAAGATATTCCTCCTACGCATCACAATGCAAAGTTTATGTCTTGATAACATACTGGATGTAATCAACTCACATTTCATACTGACAACTCCGTGAATTCCGTTACTTTCCACGTGACAGTTTCTGGCTCGGGAAAACGAGAAGGCTGTGGCGAAGCAGAGTAGTCCCCCATTCATAGTGAACCTCAGCATTGTCACATTCAAGCACACGGGTTACACCTAATTACACACACTCAACAATTTGGCACCGGTCGATAGGAGAACATTGAACGCGTAAACTGGTACACAAGTACAGAGTCCCAATGTGCAGAGATATCCAAAACAATCTTCCGATGACGACAACCACCAAACGATAACGATAACGTCACACGCTCAAATATTTATGCTTGCAAGAATGAAAATCATCCACATTTACATGGTAACATCATCGTTTTAGAGTGTTTGATTCATTTTCTGTGATCTTATCTACTTTGCATTATCATTATTGCCTTGATGACGTGAAGACGAGGCAGAAACATTTTTTTGTGGAGGGTCACCATGGGGATGAGTAGTGATTAGGAAGCCAAGTGACGTCACTCATTCATAAACGTTGTGTTGTGTATTATTGCTCAGCTGCGATGAGAAAATATGCAATTTGAATCTATTCGACCATAAAATGGTGCGATTTTATGGTGTGTAAGAAACAGATTACTGTACTCGTGTCTGTCAGATATCATTTATCTTACAATTCGTTGTTTCAAAACGTATTTCGCTTTCGCTCGTTAAATACGTTTTGAAACAACTCGTTGTAAGATAAATGATATCTGACAGACACTCGTTTAGTAATCTCTATTTCAGTTTCAAAGCAACAAGAAACTTGATCTACGTTTATAGTCATTGCGGCTACAAATGGAGAACCACCTAAACTCAATCCGTTTGTTATATAAAAAACAATACAGTCTATATATGGAGAAATAGAGAACGTTTTACGTTTCGGTAGCGATTCGCTTCTTGGGGGGTGTTTGCGTCGGCAGCAGTCAATCAGTTTATTACAGCAACAAATGTTTGCAAATATTAGTGTTGCTGTCTCGCCACCCAAAACGTTAAACTCTAGCAGAGGCATTGTTAGAGACAGATCTCAGTGCTCAACGGATATGTCTGAAGAGAAAACTCAATGTCTAGCATGGTAGAACTGAACCATGCAATACCTACATGTTTACATTTGCGTTAGGTTTCTTTACCAAAATCAATAATATTTCAATATCGAGTGGAGGTGTATATCCCGAATCTACCTCGATGTTATAACTGTCAAAAGTTTGCACACGGTTCTAGTAGTGCTCATCGCAGCCATTGCTGTAAAGATCACCAAGAAACCGCCTGCAATAAAGATAAAAAACAGGCGCAAATGGCGGTGGTGACCACGTATGGTCGTCAAAATCTTGTCCTGAAGATACAATACAAAGATCCACAAATTAAAATATGAACATAACATTACCTTTGTCAAAGATTCAATCTGAAATATTGCCGACTATTAGCTACTCAGCTGCTGTCTCCGGAAAACCAAAAACAGTTTCTATCGCTTGACAGACTATCCTGACTTGGATGAAATCTGTTACACCAGTAAAAGCTGTTGCTACTTGTACTACTTCTGGGTGTCAGTCTCCTGTGGCAACATCTGCCTCTCAACCTGTGAGTCACAACCTGAGCTTACTAAAACACAATTTATGTTAATGCTGAGGATCATATCGAAATGTCCAAAACACAACGAAAACGCCTCAAAAGTAAAAACTCATCTAAAACACACTTCCATGCAGAGGAACCTGTAACTGGTGAGGATAAATACTGAACAGCTAAACCTTCTGTTGTTTGTTTAATTTTTAAACAATATCAAGCTTGTGTGTATGTTTTCTTTTGCGAGTCATTTTACCTGTAGGGGTTAGATGGTACATGAGAATAACACTCATATCTGACTTCAAATAATACATTTCGAGCTTTATCGTTCTTAAGACAACATACATTAGCATTTCGAAATCTGATCCATTATCCACAACATGCATGGCTTATTGCTTTTAATATCCTTGTTAGCTTGTCTTGTATTTAAATCAAAGGGTTTCTCATATGAACAAGATGCACTTGTATTCATTGCTCACCCGGACATTTTTAAGAACTAGGATACCAAAGCGGCAACTTTCGAATTACATGATGCTATAACGAGTGGGTATTGTTCTACATCGCCGTAATAGCCGATCAATATTGTTGCAGTGGTCAGCTGCAATTAGTACTGTTGTTTGTTTGTTGTTTGTAGCAATAGTCCAGCTATATGGCGGCGGTCTGTAAATAATCGAGTCTTGACCAGACAATCCAGCGATCAGGGCTTCGTTCCTCAAAGCGATCGTAGCGCTACGACTGTCGTAAGTCTTTGTTAAAGTATGGGAGTTAGTATCACGCTCGATCAAAGTTTGAGGAACATCATGATCAAACTTCGTAAGCAGTTCATACAATCCAACAATCCAGCGATCAAACTTCGTTCCTCAAAGCGATCGCGCTTCCTGACTGTCGTAAGTCTATGTTGAAGTATGGGAGTTACGATCATCTTAACGCTACGATCGCTTTGAGGAACGGGGCCCTGCATCATAAGTATCAAACTTTGCAGTTCGGATACAATGGCATGCGTCAACCAAGTCAGCGAGCCAGACCACACAGCACGCCAGTCGTCTCTAACGACAAGCATGGGTTGCTGGAGACTAGTTCTAACCTGAATCTTCATAGGTTCAGTACCTGCAAGGCTACAGCAGATGGTAGACACTGGTTATTCTCTTTATATTTCTGTGTTCATTGTTGTGTCACAGCGAGAATACTCGATTACAAGCATACCGTTACAGAACCGGGCCGTTTTCCAACAGAAAACGTTACGTATAGTTCAAGATTAAAATGGATTAATGACACGCTTTTGTGAGTATTCATGCACTTCGGAATTGCCTGGAATGGTTAAGTACTTCATGTCAAGAACAGTGCCCCTTCAGAACGTCCGAACTGCGGTTTCGTCACATAGAAAATCTGGATACCGTGTAAGCTTCACATGTACATCACGAAATTGTAGACCTTGTGTGACATTGAACAACAGCTGTGGATGAAGAGGTATATATGTGCGCTTCTGGAGGTTAACCTTGCTTGCAGGTCACATGGTTAGTTTACATGCGCTTCAGTACACGTGTGTGTTTACAGACATCCTAAACATAAAACATGCTTGAAAGAAAGGCGGTAACTGTCTTTTGATTATGTTGGAAAAAGCACGTATAAATTAAAACGTCAAAATACTTCGATATACCTCGTATGCATTGCTCTTGATTAGGCGAGGCAGAGACCACCTACCATTGCTGTATGGTCTCTGGGTGAGCACATATGACGTTGTTCATACTACAGAGAAATGTGAACATGTGAGCAAACTTCGATCGTATCAAATTACGCTCGGGTACACGGCTGTGTACATGTCATACTGGACAGACACCTTCGCTCCTTGTTCTAACAGGGTAAGTGACGCTATGATAAATAATAATAGTGGATATTTGTAAAGCGCCAGTGTCCACGCACTTATGCATGCTCATGGCTCAATAAAACTATACACATGGAACTAAATTAATCACCCCTAACATATTTTAAGTTACTGACTTGCCTAATGATAAATCTTGAATTGTAAGCATGTCTTTTATTTGAACTGTATTCCCTTTCAATATTGTTTAAGGGTTTGCTAAATCAGTCGTCAAAACACATCTCATTATGCAGTTGAAGCAAGCTACCCAAGATTCTCTCAAGAAGCACTATTAAATCAATGCGGCTAACTGTATAAAACGCCAAAACGTTTACATGATTTTACCAGTATCCGTTACAATGGCACGAAGGAGACTGCCAGAAGCAAGAAGGTGGCAAATCATTGGAAAGCAAGACACCGGGATGCCACGCAGTGCTATTGGGCGACAGCTTGACATTCACCACACCATCATAAGTCGTCTTGTTAAAAAAACAACAAGGTTAAGGACTGACCAAAGCCCCGAAAGACGTCTCAAGTTGAGAATCGGGATTTAGCAAGCCTGATGAGATGTCAGCCTTTCACTACAAATGGCGTCCTGACGCACCTATGGCTCCCCAACAGACGTCTGTGCAATGGGACTGTAAAATATCGCATAAAGGCACATGGGATGAGGGCGCAAGAAGGGTGATCAAGTGTCCAGCCATGACCAATGTTCACACGAGAGTTCATTTGGAGTGGTGTTTAAACCGACGTTATTGGAATTTGACGTCAATGAGGAAGGTGCATTGGACGGATGAGAGTCACGTTTTATTGCACGTCACAGACGTCAGCGAGTCTGGAGAACCAAGAACAGTGACTATGAGCCTAAGAACAACAGAGCATCGGTTCCTTGCAGTGGTGGATCTGTCATTGTCTAGGGTTGTCTCTCCTATGATGGTAAACTGGACTGGTAACTGTTCTTTGAAAACTCAATGGCGACCACGACACCCGGGACATTCTGGATCCTGTTCTTGTGCCACATTTTGATAACCATCCATTTGCCACTCGCCCTGAATTTATGGATGACAACGCCCGACCACATCGTTCCCGACTTGTGACACGCCTTCCCCAACAGCGCTGTATCCAAACTTCCATGGCCAGCTATGAGCCGGAATCTGAACCCGGTGGAGCATGTCTGGGGCATTCTTGGACGCAAGCACTGGATCAGCAAACACTGGATCCGCCTGTACAAGATCTGGCATGTTTGGAAGCAGCTTTCAGCCGGGACTAGCAGCAGCTGGTTCTTGAGCGAATCCGGAGACTCACGACATGCATGAGGAGGAGGCTCAAAGCAGTCATCCGTGCACAAGGTGGATATGCGCGCTATTAACATTGTTCATGTGATTTGCTGTCTGAAGATGACAGAGTACATTTTGAGACTGAGAGACACTCACCTCCCCCATTTTGGAACTCTGCAGCCCCACAGTTGTACAGGGATACATTCTGTTAACAAAACATTTCTGACGTTTTGATGTCATTTAGTAAATTAAGATATTGCAAATTTTCATGATTTTTTTGTTATTGTTTAGTCCAAAATGTCAACTTTCAGGAAACTTTCAAGTATACATACGAATGGTAATGGTTGCTCAGTTTCATGGCAATATGAAAAAGTCGGGGTATTTTAATTAACTTCCATGTGTATATTTACAGAAGAATGGAAAAAAGTCAATTGTAGGCTTTAGTAAAAAGGAATGTATTTAGGGCCTTCTTAAAAGAGTCCAGGGTTGGGGCGAGTTTGATTTGAAGCGGTAGAGAGTTCCATAAAAGAGGGGCGACATGCTGAACATTTTTCTTTCCAAAAGAGGAGAGCCGAGCTTGAGGAACTTTCAGGAGCCGTTGATCCTGGGAACGTAGGGTTTTGGAAGGCACTTACTGGGTTAGGAGAGATATGGAGGGGCAATGTTGTTGAGACACTTAAAGATCGTGTACAGACCTTTGAAGTCAATTCGGTATTGAACAGGAAGCCAGTGCAAAGATTTTATCACAGGGGTCATATGATCATATTTCGAACTTATATATACTAGATATAATTCTAGCGGCTGTATTCTGCACTTCATGAGCTTTTCATGTGTTCTTTGGATAGTCCAGTCTGAAGGCTATATCAGTATTCTGGGCGAGAAGACACAAGGCATCTGACCAGGATATGTGCACTCTCTTTATGTATTTTCGGATGGTACCAATGGAACGAATGTGAAAGTAGTATGTCTTACACAGATGATCCACCTGTGCAGACATGGAAAGGTCAGCCTGTAGCTGTACTCCAAGATCTTTAACTTGTTGTGATGGCAGATACAGGCAGAAGTAATCTTCAATTGTTTAACATCTACCTAGTCGGTGTGCTGTTGTCTACGACGTAGATTAGCTTTAGTCGCCGTAAGAAAAACAACACAAAAAGATCGCTTTTAAATATGAGTGAGTTCCGATTTTAAGTCACATCGGCAATATTTCAGCCATATCGTGAGTAAAAGGTTATAATTTCATATCAAGTAAATGTAAATTATAAAAACCTGTCAACGAAGGACAGGAAGACAACTAGATTATCACAAATTTCGATATAAAAACAGGCTATAGAAATAAAACTAGCATATATCTCTAAAATAGAGCTGAGGATCGCCAACAACTGAAGGTAGATCACCATACTAGGGACCATGGGGACTTACGGTACTTTCGTTTCCTGCATGGACCCTAGCTGGATTTACACCATTCCCTAAGTTAGACAAATCTAGCCTTACATTAAATGACATATGCTCTACGATTAAAAAGAGTGGAGAGATTAAATTGCCGTTGAATCTTTTGTGACTTACGCTTTTAAATATAAAAGAAAGAATACGTTTTCTTTGTTTTACTTATTAAGACAGGGTCTGTACGGGTTGTAGTGAAAACGGACCCCAGCGAAAACGGCCAAAGAATATTTCGAGAAAACGGCCACCGCTCACGAGAAAACGGCCACCGCTGCTAGAGAAAACGGCCTCTATGCCTAGAAAAACGGCCATGATATGTAACAGAAAACTACATGTATTTTATTTTACTGTTATTCATCTCTCAATCAATATTATAAGGAGGCAATAACAATGATAACATAGTAATGGCAATGGTTTAGGTTGTATATCTACAAGTTGTACTTACATATTATTTATTTACAACTCTTCATTTGTTTGTTTCTGAATAATGCAATGTATATTATAATGCTATATTTTACATGTCTTGTTATTGATAACACATATGGTGATACGTGTATTAAAGGGATACCTAGAATAAATAAGAACCTTGTCTATCAAATATCAATTCTTTCTTAAAGTGATATAAATGGGTGCTGGCTGGCTGATCAGGCTGATTTCGGACTTGTCTCCTTCACCCGTCAACATTTAATAATTGAATAAACACGAGAAAATTTTATTATTTTATATCATTAGTATTAGATAAAATGATTTATCAATTCTTTTATTAAGCTGTTTTCTCACTCTCACGTCAGTCAGTACACAGGGAGTAGCGAGGTGATTGGATATCTTGACCTGAATTTCAAATCACACCGGCAATATTTCAGCCATATCGTGACTAAAAACAAATTATATTTTCGTGATAACTAAACACCTGTCACCGAAGGACAGTAAAACAACTAGTTTATCGCAGATATAAATTTAAAACTAGAATTTATATTATTTTTTTAAAACGTTTAAACTATAGATGACAATACCAAAAACAGGCTATAGATTACCAACAACTGAAGGTAGATCGCCATACTAGGGACCATGGCAGAACTACAAGAACAAAATTTGGAATTAGTACTACTAACCCGCTCGTCAATATAAACACTACCTTATCAACTTGTCTTACCTGTAAAATGTACAATCAATCAAATTGGTTTTTGTTCATCGGAACTATCGAGACAATCAACCAATCTTCAAAGGTTAAACCGCTATGGATATAGAAACTAAACGGTGTCTTACCGAAACGTCGACCCCTAAGGTTGAGGGTAAAAATCCTTTGATGTGATATGTTGTTTTAGCGTTGTTATTTCAAGGGATTAAAGTCTGGGTGTCACCCAAAGTTGAACTCAGGTGCGAAAAGTGATCACTAAATTAAATATGAGATCTGTTCACCTACTGGAATGTAATTATTTAGTGAGTTCGCTCAATGTGACTAATTAATCCAATCATATCACACATACGGCAGCATGACGTATATCTCAAACATCATTTCCATCATGGCAAATGCACAGCTTGATCAATAATTTCTTCCTACCTCTTGTAGCGGTAGATACCTGTGCATGGGAGGATATATTGTATAGAATAAGCAAGAGAATGACAGGAGGTTGGATTTCTTTGAAATGCGCAAAAAATGATTGTAATTCGACTGTTTCTACGATCAATGACATTCTTTCAAAAAAGCCATCAGCGCACAACCATGTGGCGACTGAAATGAAAATTTAGTGCTTTACTGTTCATAAATGACTAAATGCTGAATCCGCTTTTATGTCGTTCCTGTTTTCTGTATAACCTATGTGACTGTAACAACATTTTATTCCCATTGTAACCAGTCAGTGGTGCGTGGAGACAGTCGGTTCCTCCCTTGCCAGTTTGTGTTGACACGCTTTAGAAGGTCGGCGTTTCGGTAATGAATCCACTAAACAGAACAACCAATCACTGTTTAAAATCTTATCTTATTCATTTATTGGTAATGAAGTAAATCTTTATTATTTAGGATATATATAATCATATAATATCCTTTCATCTTGGTGCAACTATGTTGGTCGTTTTCTCTAGGCACAGAGGTAGTTTTCTCTTGGTCCAGAGGCCGTTCTCTCCAGCGCGGTGGCCGTTTTCTCGATTTTATGGGGGTCCGTTTTCGCCGGGGTCCGTTTTCTCCGTATCCCGTCTGTACAACACACAAATCAGATTGAATTATCTGGGGTTGATGTATGTTCTGGGGTTTGTTTTTTAGCTAAACTGCTACATGCCTACGTACAATCCTGGTAAGTAAATGACGAATGTTACTAATGGTACTGTTATGTCCTAACCGATGAAAAGTCTTTATCATGCACAATTGTCGCTGTGTTCATTGTAATTCCTGCATTTTGATTAGCTTAATTGGTCACGTGTTGTTGCATTAATTTCCTAAAGAAAGTCAAAATATTATCCAAGGCCATCAGGCAGACCACTTTCACAACTGCGGAGACTCCTATTTACAGTGGAGGGAAGTAAAGTTTCTTTTTCAGCGAGTCTGACCACCCGATCCCACAAGCATGGGACGCTGAAGACCAATTCTAACCGGGATCTTCACGGGTTCCGATGTCAATTAACACTTTTTTCGGATAGAAAGCCATGGCAATAAACATTTTAAAAAAACGTGTATTTCTTGTCCAATATTACTCCAGCATAACATATTAAATACGACGTTTTCATGTCGTTAAACCTATGCTGCACGTTGTGTCAGTGTTCAAGCTGATACTGTTCTATTTGAGCTGATTGTTATGGAATGTTTGAGAAACCACAAGTCCACCAAATTCAGATCCTGAAGCAAATATAGCCAAGAAAGCCCACGCAAGTCTAGAAAATGTGGCAAAAAATGAAAAAAGTCTCAGGGCTCCTTTTCACTATATTCTATTGTTTTAACTATGAACCTTTTTCTGTAAAATATGTTCATTTCAGAGACTAGTTGTTAGTCTAATAGATGTCCTGACATATCATAAAAGAGAGATCATAGTCAGTGGTTGAACAGTATTTATTGCCGATCTGGTCCGGAAGCTACGGCTGTGTATTCTTCAGCAACTGTCACGTCCATTTCCCGATCAGAGGAAACACTTGGTCTCTTAAACATCGGTATGCACAGAGACAGCAGACTTCCTATCACTAGTGCGCTACCTGAAACAATACAACACATCAGCTAGTATGAAGATAAAACATCACAGCACGGACATCAGAAATCGGCTTCACACATTGTGTCCATGTGGAGAATCGAACCTTGGTCTTCGGCGTCACGAGTGAACTACTTTTAATATTAGGCTAGTCCCATCGCCCTACCTGTAGAACTTTTGTTCAATACTGTCGTTATTTATTTACACAAAATAGTACTAACTCACCCCATGTGGGGATTTGAACACGGGCCTTTGGCGTGAAGTGCGAACACCTTACCCACTTGGCTACCCCAACGCCCCTCACTCACAGAGTGTTCAAGTATAGTTTTGCATCACTGTGAGTTTGTAACAGCCGAATGTTGTATTATGACAGCACATCGGACTGCATGAAGTTTCATGGAACTTACCAGAACAAGCAAAGCTGACATCGTAACTTCCTGAGACGTCCATGATCAACCCTGCGAACAACATTAAATATTTTTGGAACGTGTAACACGTTGGGACAGGGAGCGGTGACGGATAGATTGAAAATAATATGCGTTACGATTAAACTGTAGGAAAACATTTCAAATTATTACACTTCTGATAAATTACAGGACTTTGCATTTTAGTAGACTGTGCATATCAAACCGTTTCACATGTAGTATGGATCCATCTCATTTGAATTTTGACTCAACTATTATTATCACAAAAAGTTCATTTTATCATTTTTGAAATTATTATAATTTTTTTTTTATCTGTAATGAGAAAATAGGTTGAACCTTCAAATATATCCTGAACGGTGGTATTGTTTGAATTATCAAGCCCTTCAAAGCATATTTGTTTAAGCTTGAAAAAGATATGTCCCTTCGAATATAGATCGACAATGATCGTCTGCGACAATCATGGCTAACTTTTGGTGCCCAGAACCGTTGAAAAAATAATAGAGAAACAGCTAGACCGGTTCCGGTAAACATTAGAATTTGGCATTTACTAAACCTAAAGGGAAGTAAATTCGCCACACGGCCATTTGTGTTCGTTCCTCATCAAATACGGATTCAAACGAGATGTACCATCCCCTGCTGCCTGGCAAATAACACAACACGTAATGTTGTCTGCTCCGCATGGGTTAAATGAAATAACATTGTTCGGCTTCTTTCATCAACAAAAGAAATGCTCTTCAGTGACAGACAAAATATCTGTCGCAAAGCTCCCAGCTACAAAAGTGACCGAGCGGTCGGAAGAGGCTCATTAGAGGCCCTAAATTACGTTGGACTCTTCATATCATTCGTGTCCGGGCGTGTCTATGGCGGGCCACATCTTGGTATTCTATACTAAACGGACACCTCAATTTTGAAATTGTATCCTTTGCCGAGTTAAACCCAGCTCGATCCTTACGCCTACCGTAAGTCACTCACACTCCTCATAATCAGTCTGGTTGCCTGGGTATGTTGCGCAGGCGCTCCACTGATCCCGACAAGGACTGCACAATGGCTGCCTCCATAATGATGTGCTACTGATTGGACACCTCCGTCTAATCGCATAAATTTCGCTTCAAAGTGGTTATTCATGCACATGAAAAATATCACGATTGTTGTATCTCATACGAGGGACCTATCATCCTGTTACACAAAAACAGGGTCCGTTTGCCTTTACTCACCTGCAAAAGGAGGTCCGAGAAGTAATCCAATGCCACCAATGAAATTCACCACTCCATATCCGGTCGCCAGTTGTTTCACACCTAACAGGTCTACAATAATTGGGTTCAATAGCGCCATCGGCCCTCCACTGTAGATGCCATATATGCTACAGAAGAGGAGCTGTAGTGTGTAAGAACTTGCTAAAAGTGGACACAGAATGATCAAGACACCGGCTACACCTACCATACCCGTGTGTAGCATGAAGACGCCTATTGCTGGATCGGTACCAGCAAACCCTGCCAACACCCGCGCTATTATACTAGTGATTCCCATGGCTGTGAACAACATGGCTGAATTCTGTGGGCTAGTTCCTTTAGACTCCGCAAAGGTAGGCAGATGTACATAGATGATTGATTCTCCAAATCCCCATAATGTATAGGAAAAGACGTACAGCATAAAGCTCAAATTAGACAAAAGAGACCACGTGTCTCTGACTGTTGAACGTAAACGTTGCACATAGCTTATTCTGACTTCTGACTGCACGTCTGCTTCTTGATCCACGAGATTTCGGGTGACGTCTCCCGACGTCTCCTTCGTCTTTGCTCCTATTTGTTGCTCATGCGGTGACGGTCTAAACAACATACCACACACACACGCATTAGCTCCTATTCCTCCCATTATAAGAAACGCCCCACTCAGTCCGAACGTGTCAAGGAGGCCTCTCACTAACGGAGCACCGATGAGCATCCCCGATCCTCCTCCAGACATCTGAAGACCAGAGGCAAGGGGAAGGTATTTGTCGAAATAGTGTCCAGTGATGACAATCGCTGATGTCTCGAGGAACCCGAGTCCTAGACCTGCAATATAAATCATTTGTGTTCACTACCCCTCAATGCAAAGAGAACGGTCAAAGTGACAACCCAGTGGTATGTAGGGATTCAGATTACTTTCGGGGTGGTGGGGTAACCGTGTGGTTAAAGCGTTCGCTAGTTATGCCGAAGAACCGGGTTCGATTCCCCACATGGGTACAATGTGTGAAGTCCATTTCTTGTGTCCCCCGCCGTGATATTGCTGGAACATTGCTAAAAGGGAATAAATGTAAACTGCCTCACGCACTCAAATTACTTACTTAACTTACTAGGGAGTATACAACCCAGCAAGAACGACAAAAGTGGGTGGTTTTTATTCCAGCAATATCACAGTTGGGGACACTAGAAATGGGCTTCACGATGTGAATGTGACGAGCGAACGATTTCACCACTAGGCTATCCTAACGCCCCTTATGGTAATGTCGATATGTCATTAGACCAACTCTTAGTCTCTGAATATATATAATTTTGATAGTAACAAACAAACCCATCTAAATTGAAAAGGAGCCCTAAGGAGACCAGAGATTCATAAGTAAATCTAGACTTTATGTAGGGCTTTAGCACTGCAGATCTTGGCAGTAGGGAACATAATGTGGTTCAGGGACTGTGAGACAGACTAATTCCATTTGAGGGCAACAGTTTACAAGCTGATGGTCAATATGTGTTGTAATGATATTATCAATGGCTTCGCAATGTTTTCGCAATAGTTGTTTAAATGTCTCTTTTTTCCTATTTCATTATTAAGTGGTATAAAAACGTATTCCATCGATGCGCATGGCACATTATTGTCAGTTAGTACTAATTTCGTCCTGAACAGATGGGGATATGTTGGGGATCACACACATGGTAACAAATGAAAATGTTGACGAAAACATCGTATGCAACACAGTTTATGTCTGAAAACCTAACACCAAAACACGTCTGATTCTCGCAATAGGGGCGCACAGGGTGTTGTTCCTATTTGAAACTTTTATTTGAGACTTTGATTAAAGTCGATTAATCATATAGGTCATTATTTCTGGCAACAAAATTCAGTCTGCTCATCAAACAGCTAACTTCTTTTATTTCATTGCTTGTGTTTATGATGCATATACGGACTATTGGTATTCTTGACACTGGCAGTGGCATTCAATACTTCAGAGTGTGTAATTAGCTATATACCGGTTGCAATAAACCCGTAATATTTCCTATCGACCATGACGTGAACGACAAGGATGTTTGTAAACCGTGTTATCACTATTCCAGAAATATCACGGCGCAGGTACATGTACAAGGCCTTTACGCACTGTACCCAGTCGCGAATCGAACTCGGGTCCTGCCCACGACGAGCTAACCCTCTACTCAGGTACCCCCACCGCCTCTAACGTCAAGAGAGCAGGATCGACTGGTCCGAAATGATATATAGCTCGAATTACTGTAAACCTTCATCGGGCTCCTCGAATTCGAGTTTTGGGTGAGGCAATTAGAAATCGTTTACAAGCTGCTCATCTCAGCCACGTGTTATACCGCCATGTGTTGTATCACGTGTTGTACAGCTACTGCTGTAGTCGTCGTTGCTCACGTGCCATTCTTTCAGAAGAGTCTCGGTTCACGTTGCACTTCCTTAATACTCATGGTCATTCTGGCAAAATGGACGTCAAGCCAATGTCACGGGTCCTCGTCACAGATTTGGTGGGGGATCGGTCATGGTGTGGGGTGCCATCACTGACTGAGTGTACCAAACACCATATTGTGCACGTAGGGTCAGTGAAATGCACACTCGGTGCACCATACGCAGACCATTTGGTTTTCCGTGTACACGGCATGTGGGTCGACATTTTGTTTGTCTGCACAACTATACTGCCACCGTGTTGGAATCGTCAATAATCATCTCCAGCAGCACAACTCCGAGCACAACTGCCAGGGAAAACATACTTTGCATTATAACTACGTAAGGAAAAATTTGTCAAGACAAACATGAAATATTTCGCAACAGAAATTTACCTTGACATCATTAAGATTAACACATGACCCCTTGCACCTACGATTTGTGAAGGTCCGGGTTAGAATGAACCTTCAGTAACCCATGCTTGTCATAAGAGGCGACTAACGGGATCGGGTGGTCAGGCTCGCTGACTTGGTTGACACATGTCATCGGTTCCCAATTGCGCAGGTCGATGCTCATCATGTTGATCACTGGATTGTCTGGTCCAAACTTGATTATTTACAGACCGTCGCCATATACAGTCAACTCTCGTTAATCCGACACTTGTGGTTGCAGAGAAATATGTCGGATTAACGAAAATGTCGGATTAATGAAAATGTCGGATTAATGTATTTGTGTGAAAAGATCAATGTTTACTAAATGTCATGATCGTCATACTGTTGAATGCATATCAGAAATGGTAGATCTAGTTATCTTCATCGTATGTAAAAATATTCACAGAAATGAGAAATACTAACAATATATACTTGTTTTCATTTATTAACATTCATAGATGGCATAACATACATTTATAATCACATAAGCGAACAGTTTCAAATCTATTTCATGACCACATTGGCACAAAACTCACGTTTGTTTTTACCGCATATCAGCTGCCATTATGACCCGGATGTTGAATATGTTACAGTTTCCATACAACTAATTCCATAATAACATGTAGACGTCTAATGTACAATCAGGCGTGTATCATAACATATATAATTTATAACTTGAAAAAGTCTTTGATGGTCATTAACATCAAACACGTCTAAGTGGTGTGTCAGAAATGTTTGCAAAGTGTTCAACGATGTTTTGGCCTCAGATAGCTTGAAGCATTGGAATCAGCTGGAGTATTGCTGAGTGCGGCGTAAAACTAAACTCACTCACTCATTGTGATTTGTGTTTCATCCCTTTCAAGCATTCCAACTGCCCACAACAGTAGTTTACTTATGAATATCTTTTTCATGGGATTGTCATGTTATACCATGATATTATTTGTATTCTATTTTTAATATGATTACTAATTATGGCCTTGGGCCTGTTCTCTCACTCAGACTGTAGAGCTTGTGCCTACTGCTGGAGATTCTGTGGTCACTGCAGACGTTGATCAAGAGCATCCAATAAATGTACGATGGGGTTCAGAGCTGGAGACTGAGAGGACCATGGCAGAAATGAATGCTGTGGTTCCTAAAAATTTTATGAGTGGGGTCGGCAGTTGTAGTGTTGAAAAATGACGTTTGCTTGTTTCCTAATGGAAAGGACGTGAGGCCGAATAATTTCTGTGTAATGTTAAATTGCCTTTGACATGTACCTAGTATGTTCTGTCTGTATATGAGATGGCGGCCCACATCATTACACTATCGCATTAAATCTGCCCATTTCCTGTATGCACATCTTTACGGAGAAGCGAAAACGTGAGCCGTCATTAAACCAAACATGTTTCCATTGCTGTTGTAGCCATACACGGTGCACTTGACACCACTGACGTCGCAGCCTCCGATGCTACCGGGTAGAATGAAGCCTCAAAGTGGTCGTCTTGGGCTATAACCTGCAGCCATGTGCGGTTCGTTACTGTCTGGATCGAAATTCTACGCAATCCTGGTATTGCTGTAGCTATAAAGGTGGTGGTAAATCTATCACGTAAGTGACGAACCCGTATGAACGTGTCATGCGCTGCAGCTGTGACACATGGTTCCTTAATGAACCCTGCGTTTGATAACAGTTCCACAGTCGTGTAATGGTGGTTGGCGATACGTGGAAAATCCTGGCTGAGGCCGAAACCGGGCCGCCTGTCACCAGTAGGCCGATGGCGTTGTTTCGTTGAGCTTCTGTCATTATTAGCATGATTTTACTTTTCTCTTACTGAACAACAGTGATCACGCACATTTAAAAACCCATTGTTTCCATAACCCATAGTTCATGTCACTTTCATGTTTTAGAGTTTCATCCACTTTTTCGGTAGTTCATTTTTTTCGCCAGGCACAAATCACTCCAAACGAATGCAGACATGTGACATTCATATTTTGTATTCTTGTTGTATGGATCAACAAAACTGATATTTCCAATTTGAGTTTCTATTTATGTAGAGTATATTTATAGTATGTGGTGATAATTTTTACCGAAGATTTGACACTTTACCTGCAGTAAGTCCATAGGACACAATCACCCCGTTTACCGACGTTGCGAAGAAAGCAGCAACCATGCCCACCAGGGTCAGAAGACCTCCAACAACGGATGCAACGCGACACCCCAAAACATTGGTTAAAGAGCCGGTCACAGGAGCTGAAAGAACAGTGGGGTACACAATTACATTGACGACATGATTGCACGTGATATTCGATTGCTGCTACCATCTATAACGAAATGGAACGCAATTAATATTGATAAACTTCGACTTGAGCGCTTCCTTCGAGAAGTCCCCTTCCCTGCCTGGGCTGCGTGTAGTGAGTGACTTTAGTTTTACGCCGCTTTAAGCAATATGCCAGCAATATCACGGCGGGGGACACAAGAAATGGGCTTCACATATCGTACCCAGATGAGGAATCGAACCCGGATCGTCGGCGTGACAGCAAACGCTTTAACCACTAGGCTACCCCCACCGCCCCGGCTGCGTGTAGAGAGATCAAGGGGACCTGAGTTTATGATTAGCCCAACCAGCCCGATTGTGCTATACCAACCAACCGCTTTCTGATGCATTAATTCTAAAATCTTACAACAATAGATATGATAATAATAAGATGATGACTGACTGACTGACTGAGTTTGGTTTTACGCCGATTTTTGCAATATTCCAGCAACATCATGGCGGGGGACACCAGAAATGGGCTTCACACAATGTACCCCTGTGGGGATTCGAACCCGGGTCTTCGGCGTGACGAGCGAACGCTTTAACCACTAGGTTACCCCACCGCCCGAATAAGTTGCTGACGATGATGATTATAACACACAAATATTATATACATATAAACGAAAAACATTCAGCGACGTGAACTCCAGCAGACAAACATGAGTAAGGGTGCATACAGAATTAGAAACTAAATTGGAACTGGAAATCGTACCCACAATCATGTTTGAGAATCAACTCTGAGGTGTCTGAGAAACGGACGACCCGTGAACCCCCTCTCGAAAACGGGTCGTGAGAGTCCGGTTTAGAATATTGATCTTCAGTACCCCATGCTTGTTGTTAGAGGCGACTAACGGGATCGGGTGGTCAGGCTCGTTGACTTGGTCGACACGTCATCTGTTCCCAATTGCGCAGATCGATGCTCATGCTGTTGATCACTGGATTGTCTGGTCCAGACTCGATTATTAACAACCGCCGCCACATAGCTGGAATATGGCTGAGTGCGGCGTAAAACTAGGCTCACGCACTCACTCTCGAAAACGTCAAATATCATACTAGCCGAATGGATCTCTTCGATACATCAGTACATTTAGTTTTACATCGCTTTTAGCAATATACAAGCAATATCATGGCGGGGACACCAATACTCACCTGTAAGCATTATCGTCCCATACAACGTGGACCCGACCCACGACGTCTTGACCACGCCCTCTTGCATATTTTCAAGGAGGACGGTGTTGACCACACCCGTTGAGTAGTAGAAGATGCCGGAGATGACAACTTGTAGCCAACTGAAGACCAGCACCACCCACGCATACCCTCTGTCAATGTCCTTGTGGTCTGCCATCTTAGATACATCCGTATTTCCGGGAGAGAATAGGACTATCGCTGTGCTTCAGGTAAGTGGCGGCAAACCAGATCATGTGTATTCAGATGTGGACTGATGGTCATAATATCAAACACTCATAATTTACAGTCCGTTGTCTGCAGATCATTTACAGTCCGTTGTCCGCAGATCATTTACAGTCCGTTGTCCGCAGATCATTTACAGTCCGTTGTCCACAGATCATTTACAGTCCGTTGTCCACACATTTACAGTCCGTTGTCCACAGACCATTTACAGTCAGCACAGATCATTTACAGTCCGTTGTCCACAGATCACTTACAGTCCGTTGTCCACTTATCACTTTCCGTTGATACAGATCATTTACAGTCCGTTGTCCACAGATCACTTACAGTCTGTTGTGCGTTTACAGTCAGTTGTGCACAGATCTTTTACAGTCCGTTGTCCACAGATCACTTTACAGTCCGTTGTCTACATATCACTTGCAGTCCGTTGTCCGTCCGTTGTCCACAGATCACTTTACAGTCCGTTGTCCACAGACCACTGTCCGTTGACACAGCCCGTTGTCCACAGAACATTTACAACCCGTTGTCCACGGATCATTTACAGCCCGTTGTCCACAGAACATTTACAGTCCGTTGTCCACAGATCACTTGCAGTCCGTTGACGACAGATCATTTACAGCCCGTTGTCCACAGAACATTTACAGTACGTTGTCCACAGACAATTTACAATCCGTTGTCCACAGATCATTTACAGTCCGTTGTTTACAGATCAGTGCGGTTTCCCAGTTAACACAAACCATCAAACCACGACAGCCAGTCAGTTATGCGTTATCTCATGTATGTTACAGCTGAAAGAGATGTGGATTACGGGAAGAACTGACCCGCTGGAGTCTCCTGTCGCTAGATTGTTTCATCTCTCAGGAAAGTCGCTATTCTTGACCAAGTGATATCGTCGACGGAGGCTGTGGGAAGAGGTCAGCGTCCCAGTAAATTCATGGGCCCCTGGAAGTATGCCAGTGCGTGAACGTACATAAAGAAAATGTTATTATTGTTTAGCGTGTAACAATAAATTGTACATGGAAACAAGACTGCCCTCGTATCGATCAATCAATAAGTCAATCTATCAGTCAATCAATCATATGTTTACTTGTGCACATGTCCATCCATGTCGATGAATTTGCTTGAGTCATTATTGACGTCCTCTCATATTGCTTCTGACGACCCGTGGTAAACTCAAACACACAGTACACACTCAGCTATTTACATGGCCGCGGGCACCTGGAATACGAGGACAGATGGTGTACGGGTGAATGCAATACATGACACTTGGACACATGACACAGTCAAAGATTAAGCATAGTCACCATATGCATGACTGTATTTCATTCTTCTAGTGCTGTACATATACAATGCATATGCATATTTAAGTGATTGTGTGAGTGAGTTTAGTTTCACGCCACATTTAGCAATATTCCAGCAACATCACGGTGGGGGACACCCGTAGAGATCTTCACACATTGTACTTATGTGGGGAATTGAACCGGGGTGTTTGGTGTGAAGAACCAACGCTTTAACCACTAAGACTACCCCACGGCTCCTCTAGCTTTTTGGCGGCTGTCTGTAAATCAGGGATGGCAATTTTCCGCTTATCCGCGGATTTTATTTCAAATTGTTCAATTGTAAATCGTCTCAATCCATTGAGAAACCCCCATTCGATGACACAATATTAAGGTTTCCGCTGAAAATAGATTTTTCCCGTTGTCATCACTGGTAAATAATCGAGTCTGGACCAGACAATCAAGTGATCAACAGCATAATCTTATGTAAGTAACAATTGGGATGTTCTGATAACTGTACATGCTGCACGCATCTTATGTCATGCTTGTTAACGTAAACGTTTAAACAGTAAAGTTTAAGGAAAATAAATAGGGAAAGTCAATAGCTGTAATACTTCAGGGGGAAAGCTGGATAGAGTGAGTGAGTTAATATTTATCGTCACATAGGCAATATTGCAGTCATATTGTGAATAGTTATTTATTATACTACTAAAGATCAGTACAATTAGAAATAAAATACCTGTTGACTATGAACAGTGAGTGAGTGAGTTATTATTTAACGTCACATTGGCAATATTGCAGCCACATCGTGACGAGAGCATATTTGACATTGAAATGGAATAGATGTATTATAAAAACCTGTCGACGAAGGACAGTAAAACAACTAGAATATCACAATTAGAATTAAAACTAGCGTGGAAAGTTAAAACTTATAGCACTATTGGGACAATACAATTTAAAAACAGGCTATATATCGCCAACAACAGAAGGTAGATCACCATACTAGAGACCATGGGGACTAACAGTACCTTTGCTACCTGCATGGGCCCTAGTTGGATATACACCATCCCTTCAGCTGCTGGCGATTGTGAGAAATCTTAGCCACAATTAAAATAACAAGAATACTACGTTTAACAATCCTGGTAAGTTAAATTGACTTTGAAAATGTTGGGTCTTACCTACCCTCTCAGGAGGACAATACTTTTACAATACTTCAACCCCCCTTGAGGGTACAGCCACTAACAATCTGAGTTATTAATTTAAATTTCCAATCATAAAATACTTATCTACATGTATTTACAAATCAGTTGACAAATCTAATTCTTTTTAAAATGCAATAAGTAAATGAGAACTCATATTACTAAAAAGATCCTTCATGGTTCGTGACTTCAAATAGATATCCCTTGTGATGGAATATTCGACGATGGACAGTAAAATACTAGATAAGGTAAAACTGGTGTGTAATCATAAAACTATGAAGCTGTCAGTGTTCAATCTGGCACATAAACATCTACTGTTAGTTTTGTTTGTAGTTTTACTCAAATGAAAATGTTTTGAATAGTTCGATTCCTTTCAGGTTTAGTTAATAATTATATCAGAGAACCTCAAATATATCTATGGGCAATGATGGAAGTATAATGAGTGTATTTTACACTGGTATAGAACATTATATCATGACCTATAAATGCATTTGTAACTGAACATGAATATAAATACGCCTTGAATATTATTTCGAAAGTACGACGCGCTATTTATTGTGTTTAGATAGATATATACACGATAAACGATGACAACAATAACCTCATATCACGAATAGTGGTAATGTTATATGGTGCGTAGGTATAGCAGTTGTAAAATATGTTGATCACTGGATTGTCTGGTCCAGACTCAATTTGTTTGTCTCCAGGCCGCCGCCATATAGCTGGAATGTTGTTGAGTGCGGCGTAAAGTTAAACTCACTCACTAACCCACTTACTTCAGTAATGA